CCCCAAAACCCCAAAACCCCAAAACCCCATATAAAAATCTTAGAATGAATTCAATTAATATATACAACATGAACAAATTATTTCACTGTGAAGAGAATTTATCTCAAGAACTCCTTGGAGAAGACGTCTCTGTGGAGAAGGTCAGACTGTCTCCTAATATTGCGAAGAATATGAACAGAAGTACTTTTAGATTCAGGTTTGAATTGGAAAACATCTCTAAAACCAAGTCACGACCATTCTGAAGTGATAAGAAGGAAGGTTCGAGATTTAGAGGAGATACTTTGGAAGTACCGAGGAGAGGACTTCCTTCGAAGAAATTTAAATCTCAAGGGGCGTCTACTCATTCTCGATTGAAAGAAGATATTAAGGACTTGTTACAGCAAGCCATTAAAATTCGGAACTGCTCAAGAGGGTTTTATAATTTTCAGGAGAGACACCAAAGTAGGGTTAAGAGAGTTCCAGAAATTTGAAAATTTAGCAGAGAACTTACAATGAAGGATCTTCAGAATCCTGATTGTTGCTTTAAATAAATATTATAACTAATAATTTTACCTAAGCTCACTTTCTTGAGGATATTTTCTTTGATATTTAATGAATTTTCTGGTAAGTCGACAACAGAATCAAATTTATAACATTTTGAATTATTAAATATAGTAATTTTGCCATGAATCACTCAAAAGCTATTTAGAAGAGTTTTATAGAAGACTACTCTAATAGCCCACAACCACTGAATGAAATCTAAAGACTCTTTAGATGATATACAACAAGGCTAGGCAAGTAAGAGCTTATGTATTCCAAACTCTGTTATAAAGGAAGGGTCGAACGTTCCATCTAGTATTTAACTAATTTATGATACGCATGAAACTATATAGAATCAATTTGAGCAGCTTATTAATTTCAGATTTTAATAGGTGAAATATGGCTACAGATAGCGACTTTTAGAGAGTCCTCCAAACAAGTTTTAGCTCTTTAGTATTTTGAAAATTTCAAATTTTTTCTCCATATATTCTTTCAAAAGTAGGTACAAATCAACTATTTTCGGTGACATAATCCTCGAAATAAACCTATTGACTATTTAAATAGATACCTTTTTGATATTTTTAGCTTCTTATTTGAAGGCAACGTTCAGAGGAAATCTCGGAAACCAAATTGGTGAACTATCAATAAATTGTTATAAACTTAACAGGATTAATTAATTGTTAGTTATTTTATTCACAACACTTTCAGAAATTTTCGAAAAAGCAAGAACAAAAATAAAGGAGATATTCTAATGATTTTATGGTTGCAGATAGGAAAAACAGAAATCTAGAAAAATATAAGCTTGTTTAATGGCCAAGACAATGAATAGAGTTTAACTTTAATTTTTACCATAAGAATTGAAATTACTTATTTTAATAACAGTCTTGAAACTTAAAAATATCGCTAAAGTAACTATCTCATTCCAATGGCTACTCTAACAAGCTCCCAAATAATAAAGATAATATAACATTTTGCTATCTTCCTTATATACCAATTCACAGTTTTAAACACCCCCTAACCTCTCTGATTAATATATTTTGTCAACTCCCAAATCAAAATACCTATTACCTCACCTCATTATACTCTCTAAACCATAAAACCCAAACCCACCTCTAACACATCCACCCACAGCCCATCCATCCCCCTCCCCCTCCAAAAATCCCCTCAACACTAAACCCACTACTCTCCACTTTTCCCAATCCTGCCCAGTCAAAATCCCCAAAAACCCATCGTCACCCCCTACTACATTCCCTTCCTGTTCACTCTGGCCTATTAAATCCCTCTTTGGTTAAAATTTCTTCGTGAATTTCTACTTGGGTTCAAGCACAGGTGAGGGGTTTTGGGGTTTTGGGGTTTTGGGG